CCCACCTAACTTACTCTATATATGTATAAATGTTTAACACCTTTTCAATCACATTTATTGCTTTGAGAGTACATCTTTAATATTCTCACCATAGCAACACTGCAGCAAAAAAAAAAAAGGTAATTATGTGAGTTGATGGCTATGGTAACCTTATGTGGTAAACATTTATTTCACCACATATATCAAATCATTATAATTATACTTTATACTTACCCAATGTTATATAACTGTTATATCCCAAAGCCAGAAAAGTTATATTTAGAAAGTTAAATTGAAACTATTAAAAATTTTATGGGAGAAATATGTCAGGCATAAGCATAAAATCTCAGAACTGGAAAGAAAGCATTATATTGATGTCTAAAGAAATTAAGACTCAGACAGTTAAGCTGCTTTCTGATTTTACATCTGCAAAGTTGGGGACAAAGTAGCTAGTGTCCAGGAAAATTTTGAGTATATTATAAGATGGTTACTAGGATTTTATTGCTATAATTATTTCAGTAATTAATGTTTGATTATACCTAAAATACATCAATTACAAATTAACAGGCCCTGCCTATTGAGTGATGAGTTATATGTGCTTAAAATGCTTATTTTCATTCTAAAAGCAATATTATGCACTTATTACAGTTATATATATAGATATATACGCGCTCAGATATACACACATACAGAGTAGCATTAAGAAAATAAGTTTACATGGAACAATCTGTCAGTAAGATATAAAACACTTTCCTTAAAATTACAAATAGATTAATATAGATTTCTTTATATAACATTTATATAATATTTCTAACAGGTATGAAAGAAAATTACCACTCAGAAGTAGTATCTTAATTTTAGCATACGTGTTGAATAACTGACATACTCTTTAGGGTGGAAATCCACGTTAATGAGAATTTTGCCTTTTTTTATAATCCATTTCCTATTTTTAATTTATCTGTCATATTGGGATGTTTGTATTATTGTTTTCCATTGCACAGTGATGAAAGCAAAACTTTATCCTGAAATTGATTCACTCTAGGGTTAATAATGCTAAACATTTCAAGTTTTAAAAGACATATATTATTGTTATGTTTTATTTGAAGTTAATTTTAAGAGTGCTCCTTAGTATAGACATATTGGAAAAACAGGTAAAACCATTATTTTATTTCCTAAATTATTATTAGTATTTTTTAACCATGCTAGAAAATACAAAGTGCATATTAATGAATGGTGATTTTGATTAAAAAAACCTAAGGCTGTAACAGTTGTGATGAATTACTTAAAATATGTTACTCTCTTTTGCATAAGTTGCCTACATAAAATTAGAAAAAATGTTTTAACAGTACTAATTTTCACTTTATATTATATTTGCAAATTTGGAATCCACATTTTTAAAATAATGGTCATTCATTGTTCCCTTAATTGGAATTAGCCTTGTGCTTCCTAATTATAGGCAGCTTTAGAAGATAACAAAAATTATTCAAATGTACAGGTAGCTTTTGCTAATTTTGGATATAAATGATATTTAACAAACGTGAGTGATAGATTATCTTCTTTTACCTCACCATTGCCATCATTTGCTTATGTTGATCCTAACTTCTACTTTTTGCAATTTTCTAGCAGGTGTTAGTAGCACTATTTAATTGATTGCTTCAAAGGTTTTAAAGCATACATTCTGATTTGACCCACTGTATTCCAGCTACTGAAATACCTGTTCTCTGCAAATAGCAGTTCTGTGTTAGCACACAAAGCCCTTGAACAGTCTGATCACTTTTCGTTCCACAAATTGATTGGTGACTACTATTTACTTTTCATTAGGAATAAACTCCACAGTGATACTGCAGAATCTGGCTGAGACAAGTGTATATGGCCTGTTCAACCTTCTTAGAAGGCCAGATGCTCTTGCATTTGTTTGTTTGATTTTGTATTCAAGACAATAACTTTTACTAGCATAATTTTTATATGATTGGCTAGAAAATGTCCTAGGTAGAAAGTTCTTGGAAAATTAAGAACTCTCAGTAAAACTGTTGACTTTATTTTCAATTTCCCTGGTGGTTACTAAGAGCCGACCTCATTATTCCACCAACATATCACGCTGACCCTGTGATGGAACTGTGAAGTGGATTTCCTGCCGAATAAGCACCTGTTCCCAGAAAGCCTCCACAGTTTCTCTGGTAGCGGTATACAAAGAACTCCAGGAGTGAAAAAGGCTGCTTGCTTGCTCTTGATTTTTAAAAATGCTGGCATTTTGGTTGTCCATAATTATAATGTGAGCCAGGAGCTTATTGTAACTAGTAAATAGAGAATTTTTCTGCTAAGTTGAGTGGAAGTAAAATTTAAATCTAGGTAACAGGAAAATACTATGAATGTTCAATTGATGGAGAATTTTGGTAGTACTTTTTAACTCAGAACATTGCATTTTTAAATCTTAATTCTTAAGAATCTTAAAAAGAAAGAGGAATTTCAGCAACATGAAAAGTACGGGGGAAACTTGAGGGACCTACGAAGCTAAAACGTGTAAAGAAACTAAATATCAGTATACTCAGCATGAAAGGCACAAATGGTAAAATCTTTGGTGATTTTCAGTTTTAAAAATGCTATGAGTGTTAAATAATTGCAAAGGGCTAAAACCCACAAAACAAAAATAAAATGGTAACTCCCTAACACTTGCAAGGAGGAAGAAAGCATATTTTTGTTCTATACAAGTAAAAGAATATTTAAAATTCAAATTATCCTATAAGAGAAGGGTGAACTTGGAAAGCACTGAATTCTTAGTGCATGGTATAGTAGTTGTCTGTGAAATGTCCCTCTAACGTGTCTTTTGAGCTTACTGACATACAGTGGAACTTAGTTTATCACTAATTTCTTCCTTAATTTTCTGCTCACTTATGCTTATCTCTTCCTTTTGATTTGCTTTACTCAACCTTCTGTTATCCTCTGTCTTTTTTGATGTTCAAGTGAATAACTATTCTAGGCTTGATTCCTCAAAGAAAATCTTTTGTTGCATGAAGCAAGCTACATATGTGTACTTTAAATTTAAAATATTTGTAAAGTTTCGACACCAGTCATCCACTGTATTTATTTTTCAATTGATTTATACTTAATTGTAGGTCTTTGGGTATAGGTTTTTGTTGCATTCTATATTTTCTACAATGATGTCATACAGTTGATGTTTTTCTGCTTTTAAGTTCCAGATATCAAGCTATTGGACAACCATACTTCATACTTCTAGAAATAAGAAATGGTCAATTCGTATTAGCTGCTATTCATACTAGTATGAAATAGCTTTACAATATAAAAGCTTATCTCAGGAAATGTTAGAAATAAGTTTATAAGTGATCAACTTAGGAAGTTTTTAATGATACCTATATTTAATATGAAATTATATAGAAAACATACTTTCAGGCATAAAAAGACCAAAAATAAAAAAGCTTTTAATTTTATCATATTTTCAATAATCGAAAAAGACTAAGATATTAAGGTATCTATAATGGTTTTTAAACAAGATTAAGCATATTTCTTAACTACTTCAGTATATTATAGATAATTGTAGAATATGGAAAAATATGCAGATATAATTTATAAATGTGTGTATTTGTATATACTTTATAGTAGTTATCTCAAGGGAATAGAATCATTTATAAAGTACCTACAATCAATATCATATTTAATAGGAAAGCAGGAATACTAGCTATGGCATCCTTTAATTCATAATGCTGATATTTGGTCCTCTGTTTATACCTTTATTTATATGTAGACTGCCAAAAAAAAAATTATCATTCTTGATAACCAAAGAAATGCTACACAAAAAGTCTACTTCAATATTTGTTAAAGATAAAGTCCACACAGAAGTTACGAGGGGACATTTATATTATCAAAACAATCAATTTAAATGAGTATTTTCTTATTTTTATTAATTGCATGTTTAAACTTTTATATTTTTAATTAAAACTGTAATCTTAACAAGAGAAGTATGCGCTGTAATAACTACTAGTTTTTAATATTCACATGTCATTTAGCAAATGAGAATGAAAAATGAACTCTTCTTTTAAAGTGCTGCTTTAAAAAAAAACAATATTAGGAAAATTTGACAGAGTTTTGCTACAATTGCTGTATGTATTTTTTCTAAAAGTTTCTGTGTATGTGTATGTGTATAACATGTTTGATCATGAAATTCTAGGTGGGAAAACCTTGATTTGTTATGATCCGTATGTGATCATAATGAAAATTCATTCCTCTCATGTGTTAGTCTGCCATGTCTAATTTCATTGAGTTTTTGTTTAGAGTTTGCATGTGGTGTTCACTTTGGTATGCACTATTTCTTGATATTTTAAATAATGCTATATGATCTTTTCTACTATATCCTGAATTTTTATGATTAAAATGGGTACTGCTAAATAAGATCTTTACTGTGATCTTTGGCATTTTGACTTCAAAACAATATTGACTTTTTAGTCTTCATGAAATATCTTCTATCTATATCATCCTGAGATATATTCTTACATCAAGAGATAATAGAAGAAACATGTTTGGATTTCATTTTATATTAATTTGTTTTTATAAATTTTAAGTATCAGCAAGTTTTTTCCTGCCAAAAGTCAGATCTGACCTTTCAGTTATCAGACATTGGCAATTGGCATTTATATATTTTGGTTGACCTAAAATAATAATAATTGTTACATACAAATTTATATTAAAAACATAATTAAAATGTAGCAAATATTTTGCAAATGTTATTAACATGAAGACATCTCTTTATGTTAATTTTGTCTAAATACTTCATTGTTAGCATATTTAAAGAAATAAACATATTTCGCAGCATGTTTAGATAGAAAGATCAACCATAAATACATTTTAAGATTACTTGACCTCAATTTGTGTTTGTATGTTTTTATGTTTGTATGTTAATCTTTTTTCATAATATTCTGCATGACTCCGATTATTAAATATTGCTTGCAATGCAAGATTTCAATGAACTCTAAATGAACTATCTGGTGGGGTGGTGACTTTTATTTTAGAGACCAAACCAATCAAGTTCCTCTGAGTGCAGCACAGTTGATAACCCTCTACCTGGAGAAGGAGAAGAAGCAGAGGCTGAACCTGTAAATCCAGATGAGCCAGAGGCCTGTTTTACGGATGGTAAGAAAAAAATGAAGAACTTAGTTAGCATTCATTTATTAGTGCTATGGATTATGCCTTAAAACTTATTATTTCCTGGGGACTATTTAGCAAAAAGTCAAAAGACTCCAGTTCATGCTGAGCCAGCCATGTCTTTATGACTAAGAGCAAATCATTGAGCTTTCTAAGCTTTAGTTTCCACACCTGTAACAATCTGCTGATTCTAATTTATGAGGACAATGTGTTATACAAAGTGTGTAAAATACTATGCTACTGTTGGTTGTTCAGACTTCTTACTTAAAATCCGTAACTCACGATTCCAATTCCAGGAGACCACTAGAATACAACTAACTTGGGCAGTGGCAACTATCTTAACTTGACAGTCTGTTGCAACTTTTTCCCCTGTTTTGGTTTCAAAGATTAGAATCTACCTTTGTTCTTCTCTTGAATCTCTAAGTTGAGTTGATTTTCTCATTACTTTTAGTGACTTATTTATGCACATCCTATGGCATCCCTGCATAAATATTTCATGCCTGGTTATCTTCATTTCTTATATGCTCTTGGGTTTTAGCCTGATATCTGTGGTTTAACCAACCATTTCTATGTTGTTGACTCTTAAATCAGTTTTTACCCTTCACCTCATTTTTGAGTTTTAGTTCTGCTTACAACTCTCATAGATCATCTTTTCTTATTGTTTTAAATATTTTAAATTTAATGTTTCAAGTAAATTTTAGTGATATCTCTCCCCCATGTAATCTATAGTTTCCTCCAATCTTTAGATCATCTCATGACGTCATGATTTAATCCTACCTTTCAAGCAAAGACTTTTGCCATAAAGACTCAGTCATAACCATTCTAGTTATAGATTGATCACAAAAACCCCAGGTTGATCAGAAACTGGGGAGGGTCCTCAAGGGAACTCTGTTTCACACTAAAATTTGAGAATCATTATTGAGGATAAAATCTGAAGTCATTAATGTGGGGTGTGAAGGCTTGTGTATTTGGCTGCAGTCTATTCCTTTTCTAACTGTACTGCCTTTAATTCCATTTTACTTTCAGCCTTACTGAACATCTTACTACTGGAATTGTAAGGGATTTCATTCAAACTTTTTATTTGAACTTGACTTAGGAGAGTATGTAGTGTTTTCTAAGAAAATATGGAGTCTAAATAAAAACACAACACTAGAGTAGACTTGGAGTTAATGAAAAAATAACACAGGTTTCAAACCCTATAAACATGAATTGCTCTACTGCTAACTCTTTTCTGAAACCTTGAACACATTTTTAAAGTACTATACCTTAGTTTCCTCATCTGTAAAATGGGTTATTGCAACCACATCCATAGAGATTAACTATTTAAAATAATGCTTAGGGCCCGCCCAGGTGGCACAGGGTCTTAAAACACAGTACAGTGAGTCTGTCCGCAGCCACTGCAGCATGAGTTCCCAGTAGGGAAGTGACCCACATGATGAAGCAGACCTCTCCTGTTTCACCTGCTGCTCCTCTCAGCAGTGTATATCAATTAGTCTGCCTCTTCTACTCCCAGCTCTGTTTCTGGTGGATCTTCTTACTTCCTGACCTATTCCCAGTTCTTTTATGCATAAAGAAATCTTAAAAAAGAGAGAGAGAAATAAAACAATGTTCATAAGTTAATCAGTATAATGCCTATCTTCTTTTTTCCTTCCACTCTCCCTATTTCTTTTGAAATGTTTTGTTAACAGCCTTATATAGAATCAGTGACTATATTGATACTAAAGACTTACTGCTACTAATGGACTTACCATGATCCCAGTACTTTTTTGTAAAAATCATTGATGTGCTTTTATTTTCCAAGATTTGGTCAACCAGTTCCTTATAACAGTAATTCAGGAAACAAAATGGTGAATAAAGACACTTAGAAACTGTAATAGGTACATAAGTTTTGTTTAAATACAAGTCAAATCCCCATTTTATATGAGAAACAAGTGTAGCACAAAATTGACAGAAATTTTGTGTTTGCTGAAAGTCATACCATAAACAAAAAGTTGTCTGAATCCCAATAAATTGATAGTACTATGTAAATGTAAACTTGTACAGATTCTACCGAAATTTCTTCCACCCATTTTATGAATGACACTGACCTAAAATTCTAAAATAACTAGGACAAATAATTATTAAACAGCTTCTGCATGTTAGTCCCAGACTTGAAGATTTGGTGAGAGAAAGTAGCGATATAATGCATCTCTTTCCCAGGTAAATATGTACTGATATAGTAGATCAGGGTGTAAGAAGGGTATCCTACTTTTCTCAAGGTAATATATAGCTTGTTAATTTGAAAGGGCAGCCAATACGACTTCTGCCCCCCAAATCTTCTGATTTCATAAACACCTTATAAAATAATGGTCAATTCTAACTTTAATAATATCAACTCCTTTGTACCTATTTGGTCCTTTTATTTGTAGGGGAAATGTGAATAAAGCATTTGTTTTAAAGGACTCAGAAATTTTTAAGAACTTATTTTCCTAATCAAAGATTGTATCAGTTATACTGATAATGCTAATACATTGTTATTAATGGATGATTTGCCTTGGAGAGGAGAGAGACTTTTTTTTTTTTTGAGAGCATTGGCTTAACATGATGAAACCTAGTATAGACTTTATGAAATACATCACAAGAAGCAAGTTAACGAAAACACCCCAAAGAATTAGCATTTACCCATGGGTAACCATTAAAATGTTTGAGAGGTTCTTGCTTATGTTTACATTTAATTACTAGTCCTTTTTAGAAAAAGGTGTGATAACGTTGCTAACCAGCTAGGTTGGAAATCGCTTGGGATCTTCCTTTGAAGCCAGCTAGGAGGTCGAACACTCCTGCCTCAAGATAAGAGAGGAAAACTCTCTGAGGTATGATAAATCTTAAGGGCAATATTGGGGAGCCTTTATCACAGATAAAATGTTTACTTTTCTAATTAAAATGTATAGTATCCTTTCTTGCCTCAATCATAAGAAAAATATGTCTCTTCAAGACTGATGAAAATAAATTACATACAGTAAAATTTTCTTAAAGAGAGGGATAACTTCATCCTCTGGTAATTATACTTGAGGCAGGTAGATTGAGTTTTGACGATATTGTTGCTTTAAATTTGACATAAATTCTAAAATGTCAAGCGTCCAGTTAATACTATAAATCCATCTTAAATGTTTTTACTCTTTTTGGTATTTCCTTTTGTCCTGAAATAAATTAGGCAGAGGTCCAAATTTCCCCTACCCTTTGACTATCTTTTCATAAAGATTTATAAAAGGTTCTTTCTTCACTAAATACTTTTGAGATATAAAGTTATTGTTTTAAATATAACAAAGATAATTTCTTTAAGATGTGAGGTCATTTTAACTATTATTAATGTGTAAGTGAAGCTGTGTATGTTTTAGATTCGGTCTGCATTTTAACACAGTGCGTAATTTCTAGTAGTCATAGAGATGCTTAAAAAATGTTAGAAATCTAGGGGGATTACAACTGTTTCAAGCCAACTGTACATCGTATTTTAAGGGATATAGAGAATGACAGCAAATGCTAAAGTCATGAAGAAGTAGGTGACAAACACAGCTTTAGTTTTCCTGGGAACTTAAAAACTTCCAGAAATAAAGCACAGTAACACAACAATATCCATGATAATAAAATCAGAGAGTCAGGGGCAAAATAACATAGCTTTTTACATTTTACAAAGCAGGAAATTAAAGTCCTAGAAGATGCCTTGTATTAACTGAATCAGCAAACTAATTTCATTTCATAATTATGGAAAAAAACTATAAGAAGACATTGTCTTAAGTATAGTTCATCATGAGAAGTCTAGGTTTGTTGTTCCAAAACATTGATCTCAAGTAATAGGCTCAATATTTTTATAAAATGTTTTTTATACAAGGAAAAAAATTTTTTTTAAAGTACCTCACTTAAATACTTCTAAAACAGGTGTCTAAAAGATTTTGGCGATGAATATTTGAAGAAGTCAATATTTGTCTACAAACCTGAGACTTATTTTATAATATTATAAGCCAGTGTTACTTCAATTAAAAAAAAAAGAAACAAACGTGTTCCTCAACAAATAAGTTATTACTCCCCCCAAATTAAATTTAGTGTTTTCCTTTGTTCCTAATGGTTTTTCATCTACATTTTAAAAGAACAGAATTACAGTTTCTCTTTTTACTTCAAAGCAATCCTGATTATTTATATTTTAATCAACCATAATTCTTAAAATTTAGCTCTGAATTCCCTTTGTTCTATGATTTTTTTATTTGTTAACTTTCATTTATAACACTGTGTATGACTCAGAGCTATGTCTCTTCTTCCTCTTGTGCCAGGAGTATATAAGCAAATGTTTAATGTATGACTATATCCATCAATTTATTATTATGTTCTGCCAGTCTAAAAGATTCGTAGCACAAAATTTACAAATAATATTAACATCGTCTATGTTCCATAAAGCTCATTGAGTCTCACAAAGTATATGTGTTGAATATTGCCAGAAGATTGTATTTGGAGATAAACAGAGGTTCCAGTTGCTAAATAATTATAGTTTAAACCTGAAAAGTTGTTATTATTTTCATTTACAATAATCAATAAAATGAAAGTGAAACAAAGAAGCTCCATTTCAGAACTGCACTCTTCAGTGTGAGCAAATATTCGATGAATAATAAATGCTACGTATATTTTTTGGTGCGAGTTACAGTGTGATGGCTACAGGGAATATATCATTTTACTGTTTATTAATTCTACTATAGAAAATCAGCAAGCCCTAATTTATAGTATGAAGATTCTCATCATAACTGATTTCAAACTTCTGAGGTAACTTTACTGAATGTAGAGTTGGGAATAAATACATAGCAGCCAACCAATATAACAAATTTCTACCATTCTGATATACTAAATAAGTACAAATATATACAAATTATGTATTTATAAATAGTAAATATATGCAAGATGATAAATAATAGTATAGTATGGCTGACAAGTAGTAGATTTTTTAATACTTATTATCAAAGTTATCTAATTTTAAATTTATATAATTATTTATAATGGTCCCTTTGTCTCCTCACTTTAAATATGTTCTTTCTGTGACTTCAAAAACTGTCCTGGTCTCAGCTGACACTTACATGTTAGTGATCCCTATAAATTCATTTCTAGCCTAAACTTTATCTCTGATTTTTAGATTTATATCTCCGAATATCACAAACACCTCAATATTATTACCTCCTTCTATGAGCTTCATTTCATTGCTGACATCCACTCAGTGGTCCTGAGTTCCTCTGTCTTACATCCCATATCCAGTCAGTCACTAAACCATGTCTAATGTGTCTAGTTTCTAAATAGAGCAGCCCTAATCCATCTCTTTTCTTAAGGATTCTGAGGCAAAACCCAAAATAGTTCCCTGACTTTGTCTTTCTTAAAGTTCCTGCCCTCTTTTCCCTTCTTCTTCTAATTTATCCTCTGCATAACTTTTGGAGACTTCTTTTTAAACTACACTTCACCTATACTTTCTACTTAAAATCCTCTACTTTCCACTTTTTGTTCCTTTAGGCCCGGGAGCATGCTTTCCATAATCTGATCTATTGTGGAACTTAATTTCATGCCCCTGCTTCTAGGGTACAGTTTGCTTTCTTCACAATTCTGAGCTATTTGTAATTCTTATGGACAACATGTCTCACTTCCTCTTGGCCTGTAATCTAACCAAACTCTTCTTGTCAAATACTTTGATTCAATTTAGACTCCACCTCTTCCATGAAGTCTCTTCTGACTACTCTTTAACAAACAAGGTTAGATATATTTCTTCCATGTTACCAAAAAATAACCCTGTATATCTGGCATTTAGTTGTCCAATTTGGTTATTTATTTCTATTTCTGTCTAACCAAAACCAAAAATAAATTTATGAAAGAGGGGAAGCTATGTAGACAACTGAATACACAGCAGATATTCAATAAATATTTGATGGAGAATTTAATAAACCTAAGAAATTAAATAAAATGATCCTCAGTTTTTCTCAATAGTATGTATTATACCTAGAATACCAGCGGTTTTTTGATTTATTTTTAAAATATGAAATAGTTTATCTCTTTATTAAGTTCTGTTCCTTTTGAGTTTGATTTTAAGATCTTCCACTAATTTCTTAATATTACTTGATACTATGTTTTTCAAAGGACTTTTTAGTATAGTGGTAGCTTGAGAAAAAATAGATCTCCTCATCTAAAAAGTCATTCATTAGCAAACAAGACCTTAAAATATATTTTTCTTCAGGTTTTTCATCATTAGTACATCAAATAATTGTTGAGTGTCCATCCTATATCAGCACCATATTAGAATTGCAATGAAAAGGTAAGTGGTTTAATCACTTTACTCACTTGTAGAGATTGGTGAGAAACTGGGGAAGTACAGAAGACATGAATATTTTCTAAGTAACAACTGATAAATATTCAGAAAACACTATGGAGAACTTATGAAAGAAGGTGGCATCCAAGGTGAATTTATGTGAAGCTACAGATATAGATGGTAGAAACTATTTGGCTGAGGGGCTATCATAGCGAAAGTGTTACATTAAATCTATTTCATGCATTTTACTCTAAATATGAAGACTTTACATGGATGCCTTTCTTGGCAGGTTGTGTGCGGAGGTTCCCATGCTGCCAAGTTAACATAGAATCAGGGAAAGGAAAGATTTGGTGGAACATCAGGAAAACCTGCTTCAAAATAGTTGAACACAGTTGGTTTGAGAGCTTCATTGTTCTCATGATCCTGCTCAGCAGTGGTGCACTGGTAAGTAATCTGACATTTAAAGCAATACTTTGATGAAGTCAGCATTTTTAAATAAATGAGTTGTAAGATAAACATATCATGGCAGATTATTTTATCTATAATTTAATCACTATGGTTCATAACCAAGGAGAAGATTTAGTTTAGCTCAATAAATATTTACTGAACACTACTACATACCAGGTATGATACTTGCTGCCTAAAAGTACCTAAAGATCCAGGTTCTTTACTCAAGTTGTTCAGAGAGCACTGGGTAAGAGAGAGGCACAAGTGTTACAGAACTGGGAAGTGGTTGTAAGTGAAGTGCATACATGACAAATCTCTGGAGTAAGGAGGACAATTTTCTGCTTGGGATTTCAGAAAGATAGATGATGTTTGCCAATATCTAAATGGATTACTAGCAATTTTCCACCCAAATAAGGTGGGCTTATAAAATGGTATGTGTAATATACCATAACAGAGCATGAGATTTTCTAGAATTGAAAAGTTGCCAAAATCTAAAAGTGTCATGAGATGAAGAGCAAATACAGGGAGATGGTGGTGCCCAGAGATACAGTGACTAAGACAGACAGTGTCAGCTTATGAAATACTGTGTGTTAGCTGGGAAACCAGTCTGTAGTTGTAGGATGAGGATGGAACAAGTTTCTCATTCTGTGTACACCAACTACCTTTAATGAGGACTGAGGGAATCTGGGAAAGTTACAGCTCTCTGAACCTTTGCTTTCTGGCGGAAACTAACAGAGATAAGCTGAGAGAAGTCCAGCTCCAACTAGAGATAGCTTTGGAAATTCCATTGTATTAGGAAACAGAATATTCCAGAACTTTTTAAAATTGTCTCATAAATAATGGATCTGTGGTTTATTTTTACTCTTACTTATAATAAATTGACCTGTTACTTTTAAATTGGTAGAAGATATGAAAATTCCAAGCCTAAGACAAAGGGCTTTAGTTACAATGGCATACATAGTTCATGGTACATGAACTTCAACATATTTTTTTTTGGTTCCTCTTGTCCCAAGTGGTCACAGGCCATAGTATGGACCTGTTTGAGTATAACGTCACAGCTGAGGAACACTGAGCTTGGGAAACATGTCCTTCTATGGAAAACAGGAACCTTGTTCTTTCTCCTAGAGGGAGACACTGCTTTATCCCTCAAGATTGCTGATCGCAAAAGCAAGCCCTCTGAGAAATGGCCAAAGTGAAGAGTAGCCAGGGTCTTGTCTTCCTGCTACACCCAAAAGACATGTAGAGATGCGTAGTGCTTTCAATGCAGTGCATCTCCTACCCAAGTGCCTTCTCTCAAAAACAGTAGGTGTAATAAGAAAAACACTAACTAGTTTGGTGGAATGCAACAATAGCTATAGTTATTTGTAATAACAAAATCTGTTTAACCCAGCTAAGTCACTTTTGTGATTGAGACTTTCAAAAAGGTGATTATGAAACAATTAAAGTTCATAATTACCCTATGTAAATGTCTAAAAGGAAAATATCATGAGGAAGAGGGGATATAAAGAAAAAAAAAAGGATCAGATAAAACTAAACCCTAGAAATATGATTATAAAACAAGCTACCAGGGTGGAGAGGAAAGGTGGAAAACAGAGGTGGGAAGGAGCACAGTAGGCCATGGTGGAGGACTCTGGGTGCCTTGGTAGACGTGGTGCAGGAATATACCTGACTAGCTGTGAACCTACATCTCTGAATTGTATAGTGTTGTAAACTCGATGTTACCTCAATTAAAAAAATAGCAAAACTTTGAAAAGAATGTTCGTATTATTTTTCAAGGCATTTATGTCTATGACCACACTATCATTGCTATTTACTAAAAGTTCTGGGAACGTGTAAGAGGTGCCACATTTGCAAAATGACTGTATAGTGATCTGGAGAACTGAAGTTTTGAAAGATTAATGAAATTTGGTATAAAATGCAGAGAAGACACCATCCTCTATTTTCTGCAGCTCCATTAGGTGACTGCATTTATTTAGCAAAACTTTTATAGACTTTTGCTGCATCTTGACATGAAGCAGGGCCCTGGGACTGCATAAGCCTATCGTGATGAAGAAGGCCCAAAATCATATTAGTGTGAAGGATAGTGCAGGGTGAGAAAGACTTTTAAAGGAGCTAACCTTGGAATAATGTCATAAATTATTAGGACTTACCCATCTTGAAGAGGGTAAAGAGGAGTAACATAAAATGGAAGACCTTGTAAATGTCAGATCTATGGTTCTTTTGGAGGTTACAAATAATTTCTACCTTTTATACTTTCTCTTGATTTCTGATGACCTGTGTCCAAGACTGGTGAGAAGTCTAAAACTGTACACAGTAATTAAAAGCCAGAAGAAAGTCAATTGCCCATGTTAATATTCTGTTTCAGTGGTTTCTCCATCATAATTTTATTTCCTATTTTTAGCATGGATTATAAGCTTTAAGTTGCATATGAATTAAAATTTGAATATTTTCTCCATAGGCTTTTGAAGATATATATATTGAAAAGAAAAAGACCATTAAGATTGTCCTGGATTACGCTGACAAGATATTTACTTATGTCTTCATTCTGGAAATGCTTCTAAAATGGATAGCGTATGGTTATAAAACATACTTCACCAATGCCTGGTGTTGGCTAGATTTCTTAATTGTTGATGTATGTACTTTTGAGAAAATTTTAAAAAGGGTTTATTCTTACTACTAACTGTTCTAAAAAAAAACCATTCACTAATATACATCATCATGTTTTTATTTTGATTAGCTTTTTTAAAATTTTAGGCTGTTGGTTTATGTTTTTAGAAATATAACCAGTGAAAACATATATAGGGAATATTAAAAGAAATCCTTTGACAAATGTGGTTTCTCTTCTTCACATTCTAATATTTATATTTGCAAATATTTTCTGCAATTAGAGAAGATGTGATTGTTTTATATATAGGATTTAAATATCATGTTAAATATTCCTTTTTGGCAATAGGAATAAAATAAATAACAGATAGTAGGAGTGGAAATGGAGGACAAAGACAAATGAAAACGATAATATATTGACTTAATAGAATTAGGAAAACGAAGATGGGGGTATATCAAGTTGTCTGACATGTATGAGCTCATATTTATGTTAAAGTGGTAGTGCTAACACTAAATAACTGTTAGAGAAAAGGAAAAACATGACATAAATATTTTTCTCAGTCACAGGCTAGGAGCACCAAAATGAGTCACAACTGTTATTTATTTCAAAGGCCTAACCTACTCTTCATTTGTAGAGTGATAGTAAGATAGAGAATATTCATTACATTTTTCAAATAATAAATACAGAAAGCTATCAAAAACTTTGATATAGAAAATATGTAAAAATGCCTGAAAGTGAAATTTTTAAAAACACAATAATCAGTTTTAAACATCCCATTTCAATAGTCAAAAAAGAGACCCTAAATCAAGGCATCGCAAATAGAAATCAGTGGTATAGAACACATTATCATCATCATTATCTGGTATCCTCTATTGTGTTTTAATGGCATTTTCATAATATATATTAAAATTATTATACATTCTATTTTATATTGTGTGAAAGTCTTCCTTAATTTATGACTTCAACCTCCCAGTCTTATTTTTTCAGAATGGCATATGTTCTTCAACTTTTTACTAATTCTCCTAGACTTCCTACACTAGTCTGTGTTTAGGCAAAAACATCATCTTATAATTATTTACAGTATTTAGAGATTTGCTTTCCATCTGATGCCTGGAATTAGAGGACAACATGCAAATTTTTGTAGTTCCAACAAATGCTGTTACATTTAATCAAGAATTGTATCACATGACTTTTCAGAACAGATAAATTAGTACAGCATCATTCATAGTTATCAAAATACAAACATGACTATACAGAGTTGGATTATAAAATTAAACCAATACTTACCATACCTACTCAGTTCAGCTTATCAAATGCTTTCTCAAACTCAGGAAATTCTTTTTAAACAGACTAATATATTAAATATTAAAAGCAGTAATATTTTTGTTTTCTACATAGATCTGCAAGAAAAAAAAAATGTTTTCCAAGGTATATTATGTTACACCTTAAATGTTCTCTTGTGCTTTCCTTATGAGAACTCCAATTTTTGATACCTTAAATTAATGATTTCATATTATTTGTTTTTTTATTCACCTTTTACATGTTTCCTTGTAACTGCCAGAGAAAATAAATAGTATGATGGATGTTTTCATAATGTAATAGTTTTAAAGTAAGATTAGCCAAAAGAAGAAGATATATTAAAAGGAATGTAGAGTATTTCATTGCTTTCCTCCTAACCTTTAAATATGATTGGATCTTAATCTAGAAAATATCTAAGATATTCAAAAACCTCTTATCACATTGTAATTTTCATCACTCATTTTAAGAAATAAAAGGTTACAAGTAACATGTATTAGTTAAGAAAGATACAACTGTTTAATAACAGAAACTATTTTTGTATGTGAAAATCTGAATTAGTGACTCAAACATGTAGGGCTATTCAGAGCTCAGAGAGTTATATAATGCTGTCTGTAATATTACTTAGTACATTCAGAGATAAGTAAACAGTAACATATGTAAGTATAAAAACATAGTATATAAAACATGTTTTTGAAATGTAGTGTGAAGCAAATCTGCACACAAAATTATTGCTTGTTACCTGCGATACAATTAGGGGGAAGACTGAAATTTCTTATTTCTCAAAAATTGAAAAACTTATCTAGAGCAGTTGTTCTCAGACTGCTCCCTGAAGCAAGAGCACAGGCACTCAAGACCTATTTAATGTGAACCCCCAAAGTTGGGATCCAGTAAACTGTTGTAATAAGCTCACTAGTTGCTGCTTCTTCATATTCAAGTTTCAGAACCACTAATCTGATTTCAGAGAGGGGAGGGGTGGATTTATTTGACTTCTTCTAGTGTCTAGATTATTTGAAATTTAAGCAATGGCACATTCACCAGTAAAACATAGATCATATATGTATTCTTGAGTATGCATAGCTAAGTAATAGATGCTCATGCATACACACACATATAAATTCTACTCAGATACAGACCTTGTTGTATTTACCTCGATAAAGATATGCTCAGTACTCTGACATTCTACAGTGGTCTGTCATTTTCTCACAGATAATTCACATTATAATGAACATTTACATTATTTTCCTGATTAAAAGGGACACTTTTATTCTGATATTTTAAATTCACTATTTTTTAAAGTGGAAAACAAAGGACCTGAATGGATGAATTTAATAATGTATTGCATTAATATGTGCAGAATATGTAGCATGAGGACTAAAAAAGAAACAGCATTGCTACATTTAGTAAACTATTAGAAAGTAAGTATATAAGATCAAAATAGCACATCCTCATTAAGAAATGAGTTAACTTGTGTTTGTTTCATAGCAGTACCAAGTGAAACTGTAAGCAATGACTTTCCCTACTTTTTCAAGGCCAAAATAAGGAAGTTGACTCTCAAGTCTTTCTTTTCTTCCCTAGAAAACTTGAAACCATTGAGTCATTTAATTTATAATGAAGAACTGCATTCTAGATATTCTTAGATATTGCCTCCTGTTACATCCAGTGTAAAATGAGTGAACATTTTAAATGAAACTTATTCAAAGACTGAATGCATTTACCAATGCAGATCTAAGGTCATTGAGGAACTCATTTATTTCTCCATTATCAAAATGCATATTGATTTTATTTCTTTTTTTTTTTTTCTGAGGTAATCTATGATAGGAATACACATTTCTGTTGAATTCTGGTTATGGTCATTTTGGTGAGTCTAATGGGAAGTTCTATATGCTTGTGTTAATTGTGAATCCAGTGTGATCACCTAATCTCACACTCTTTCTTGAGCATTTCTCCATTCGTTATTACTAGGTAGTTCCTTGGTGCTGGTAACTATAAGGCAGGAAAATCTAATGAAGAATTAGCCCTATTTCAAAAAATCATAACCTTCAGAATATTTTTTTTAAAGATTTATTTATTCATATAGAACTGGGGTACAGGCCAGAGATGCGGAGGGTGAGAGGACTCACCAGAGACAGAGTGGGGAGCAGAACAGGCAGATCAAAGAAGTCCACTGCTGAGGGGAGCAGCAGGCCGGTCAGGAGAGGTCTGCCACGCCATGTGGTCTCCTCCGGGGCAGGCGGGAATCGAACTCATGCGGAAGTGGCTTAAGCTCTTAGTGCAGTGCTTTAACCCCCTGCGCCACTAGGGAGGGCCCGACCTTCAGAATATTTTAATAAAGTTTATCCTAGGACTTAGACTTGGCCAAGTGAATGTCACTTAGCTAAATAATTACATACTTCATTGTGTTCTGGTTTTCATTTCAGTTGAACTTTTGTTAATTGCTCTAATTCAGTGTTCAGAGTTAATAAGCAAGTACATAAGCATTGACTGAGAAAGTCTGAAGCACATAAGATTTTTATTCAGGGATAAGGAATAACCTACGTTGTTTTTATTTTTTCATCTTACTTTGGTTAACCTTCCTTTAAATCTGTTTCCTTACAAAAACATCCATCTTACTCAATTTTTTAGGCAATGACTAAATAACTCAATATATGAAATCATATTGTTTTTATTGAGCTTCTCTTAATAACCTCAGAAATTGACTTTTCCTCTTTGTGCTTTATTATTTCATTGTAAAGACTTATGAAAAATTTATTTTTATAGGTTTCTTTGGTTACTCTAGTGGCAAGCACACTTGATTACTCTGACCTTGGCCCTATCAAGTCTCTTCGTACACTGAGAGCTTTGAGACCTCTAAGAGCTTTATCAAGATTTGAAGGAATGAGGGTAAGAAACTTCTAAACTCCCTCGTACTTTTTTAGTGAAGTATAAACTATAAAAAAGGATATGCATAAATTATGAACTTTATATTAATAAGCATGTGCATATACATACCATGTAGGGATATAGGTGGGTCGTTTATTTACATAAGTGTGTATACTTGTGCATATGTAAACATATACACAGCATTTCAATGCACATGGTTTAACAAAGAGTAAAGCAAATACAATGCCTCCTTCATATAACATTTTTAGGCAAAGATTAAATAAAGTATACCGTTTCCCTTAAATGAAAATTCCCCATTCTATGATATTCAGTCTTGACACCATCTCTCACATGCACGTCATCAAAAACTCGTCTGAATCAGGTTTGCACACATTGTTAAAGTTCTACCGTGAGTAGGGGGCATAAGAAAAGACAAGGAAGTGAAATAGCATCAGCCATTTCGATTTCATCTTCAAAATATGTTTCAAAGTGGAATTACCTCAATTTTATTGAGGAAACAAAAGCTCTGAGGGTTCATTTAATTTGCACTAGGCTTGATCGTGCCTGAGAAGAGATTCATTTTTCAGAGGCGAGGCTATGACCACCAACAGTCTAGCTTTAAGAGCTGTATTAAATCAGCAACTTCTTCATAAAAATACATGGAGGACAATGACCTTATTTTCCCTAATTAGTTCATAACCTCATTCGTTGTTATTTTCCTTGAATTTCTTCTTCTCCAGACTTATAATGCTTTCTTATGTCTCTGTTGTTTTCTGGCTGGGAATGCAACTCCCTGCTCTGGATCAACCTAGCCTCATCAATACTGAAGATAAATGCCTACTCCTCTTTTAAACCGCAATTACAATTTGCTTTGTTTGTCCACCACATCCTCTCCCTGTGCTCAGACACATAAAACTCTTATATTGGGCATCCTCTCCCTGTGCTCAGACACATAAAACTCTTATATTGTATTTTACTTGCTAATTTACCTGACTGCCTCTAGGCTGTCGTCTCTCTACAATTTAATATACAGTTTAGTCTAGCTTACTGATTTTTAAGTGTGGTCTACTGACCAGCTAATGGCATCATCTATGACCTTATTAGAAACAAAAATTCCCAGATCCCATCACAGGCATACTAAATCATAAGTTCTGGGCTGATATCCAGAAATCAGAAGACTCCAGTGAGTTTTGGATATCTTTAAGTCTAGCAGGTCATTATTATTCCTGTGAACCTAATTATGACAGGCTTCTCTACTGATTAATGTGTCCACTGTTTAATGACTTCTCTGTATATAAGGACTGAAAGTTTATGTTTTGATTTATACATAGATGATATTGGAACTCATTGACAATAATGTAATTTTTAAGCATTAGCATGTTATAATATGTTTAGAATCTATTAGTTGACCCTAGATTTGAATATATATTACATTTTCATGAACAAAAGCTATATTTTTTCAGTAGAAAACTACTTCCTTCAATGAGTATTAGGACAACTATCATTTAACTCTACTTACATTTTGTTCATTTTCTGTTACACAGGTGAATTGGATACAGGAGAATATTATAAAAATAGTTGAAGCAATCAATAAGTATATTTACACTTATTAACCATGTAAAACAAGAGATGTTTCTTTACCCTGCTATGACTTTTTTGTAATCCTTAATTTGGGGACTTGCATTTTGGCTCTTGATTTATGCAGTTGCTCCATTCACCCTCCCCATCCATGTACAATGGCAATTTGAAGAATACCTTATATTTGAGGCATATTGTAGTATTTGTGACTTTAACAATATTTGGTAGCCTCTCTTGTTTCAAGTAATCCCCAAGATAGAAATTCATAGTGTTTCCCCACTGGAAATAATTGGTGAGGCTGCTTGCTAAATTGCAAAAAAAAAAAAAAAGGGGGGGGGAGGAGAAATCATAATAATCATTACTTAATCTTCATGTAATACTTTTCACTTAAACTTGTTAATATATTTGCACTCAATGGGGACTAGAGCCAAAAATGTAGGAAAATCAATAGGTTTGGAAGATTAAGGAAATTCAGGAAATCTGAAAAGCTATCAATTCTACAGTGGATGTCAGAACTAAAATGGCAAGAGGCATTGGGGAACAATAGCAGTGGATATGCTGAAAAGCAGAATAGACATTATTATTTTTAAAGATAAACTGTTTCATTTTTGTTTTAGCTGAGATCTGCACTATTTTTATCAATGGATTTCCAAATATGTATTTTGTAATTAGAATAGTAAATGTGAAAATATTACTCATTCTAAAGGTGAGGAGATAGAGGTACTAGCAAAGGTAATTCTAACACTATAAATTTTTAAAACATACATTTTATTCATTTTTAACATATTTATACATTTCTTTTCTAGATCTTGCAGGTTTTGAGTTCATCTTACATATATCAGGTTGTTAGTTTATTTTTCTTTGTGTTTATTTAAACTCAGCTATTTTGTTGGGTATTTCTATGAATATCACTGCGTGTTCCTCATGTATTTTTGTAAAAATCATTAACTTCAGGACTCCTGTTACTTTTTATACTGCTTGGCATAATGCTGAGCATTGAGTAGGTATTCTGTAAATATACACTGGTTAATTTGATATCTTAAAAACTTAGGGTGACTTTTCTAACATCTTTACTTCTCTAATATATTTCGTTAATGTGACCTATTTAACCTTGTACTAATCATTATCATTCTTTTCTTTTCTTTTGAATACCAGGTTGTTGTAAATGCTCTCATAGGTGCAATTCCTTCCATCATGAATGTGCTGCTTGTGTGTCTTATATTCTGGCTAATATTTAGCATCATGGGAGTAAATTTGTTTGCTGGCAAGTTCTATGAGTGTGTTAACACCACAGATGGGTCACGCTTTCATTCAAGTATAGTTTCAAATCGATCTGAGTGCTTGGCACTTATGAATGTTAGTCAAAATGTACGATGGAAAAACCTGAAAGTGAACTTTGATAATGTTGGACTCGGTTACCTGTCTCTGCTGCAAGTTGTAAGTGACTCCTTTCATAAATATTTGATATTTTAGTGGAAACTGGATGATGGACATAAGTCATTCTTTACATAATATCAACTAGAAATTAAAGATAAAACAATCAGTGATTTTAAAAGCAGATTTGGTTTTCCTTAAAACATGTACTACAAAATTGAGTTAAGAAATTATTTCTGTTGCATTTGAGTTATTAGTCCATAAATGACTTCTTGATGTTATCCCCCAGCCACAATCATTGCACCACTTAACTATTACTCCAAAATTTACTATCAATTTTATACTCAGTAATGAGTACGTCCCACTAATAATGAGAACTCTTATGAAATAGGCAAAATTATTTTCAACCTTTTTAAAAGATTTTTCTTCTTCCTCTGCTAGAAAAATAAAAGTTTATGTGTACATTCACAGGCAACTATAACAACCTGGAAATGACTAATTAAGACTTAAGTTTCTAATGTGATTTGGGAAGATGTCCTCTTTGTTTTTGACATAGCATCTTTATATTGGTGTTTTGAAATACAGTCAAAGTTAGTAGTTTAATATTAAGTGTTTTAGCATTCAATAAACTAAACTCACTTATGACTATTTTTGAGTATGAACTCCATATTCAGAATCTACATGTGTTGTATTTACAGGCTACATTTAAAGGATGGATGGATATTATGTATGCAGCTGTTGACTCTGTTAATGTAAGTATTGGTGAACCTACCACTAAACTCTGCGACATTTTCAAGCTCCTTTGTTTTGGCCAGAAGTTTTTAAACCATAGCTCAAGGAGCTCTTTGTATGCATATACATGGTAAAGAACTTCTGCCTAATAGCCTGGTAGTTACATGTGCAGGATTTGAAGACAGATTTAATAAAATTCTGGATTGACCATAATCATGAACATTTTGCAACTGATTTTGAGCAAATTTACTCTTAGTCTATTGTTCTGTAAATAGAAAAAAAAAATCATGCCTACCTAGTGAAGTTGTTCAGATGATACAACAGGAAAATAAAAAAAAAAGGGCATTTAATGAAGCCTTATACTAATAAGGTATCAGCATATGTTAATTTATCAGACTAAAAATGAAATTGCATTTTATCCATCATTTTAATTTTTATATTTTAAAATGCTTTAGATGAATTTATGTCAAGTAAGTTTCACATTAAGAAAGTCTGAACATCACCAGCTAGTTCATGTTGCCCAAAAAATCAAGTGAAGACATTTCTATACCAAATAAAAAAAATCAGCGAATTTTATGTAAATATAACATTATCTCTTTCACTGCTTTTCTCTGGAAAAAAACTCATACTTTTGGTCACTTTCTTACTACAGTGTTCTAACAATGTGAGAACAAGTCTTACTTATGCTTAATACTTTGCAGCCATTTGAAGATTATATTTATGTACATAAAGAGTATATAGTACATATTTAATATGAATAAATTTTCAGGAATGATTATGTTGAGCCTCAACAATGCTATAGCATCAGAAAAGCCAAGTTAACCTAGGGTAGTTCTGTTTAGATTATCTTCTCAAAAAGTGTGAAAAGGAAAAAGCCAAATGTGACTGTCAATGTACCACTAAATTTTCTTAATTTTATAGGTAGACAAGCAACCCATGTATGAGTACAGCCTCTACATGTATCTTTATTTTGTCATCTTTATCATCTTCGGTTCATTCTTCACTTTGAACTTGTTCATTGGTGTTATCATAGATAATTTCAATCAACAGAAAAAGAAGATAAGTATCTTAAGTTTTTTTTATTGTACTAGAAACAAAGAATAGTTATTTTCACAAAAATGTAATGCGAAATTTAGTTTCATGTTAACTAATTATTTCCTTTATTTGCTTCTCAAATAATTGGCCAGTATATATTTATAGGTATGCTTAATCTTATCATCTGCATAGAAAATATCTTCTAAGCCATAACTTCTTACATAGTATACAGTATTCAGTTTTTTTATAATGTTCTCTATTTGAATAACCAAAAATGTTCACTATTCAAAACACATTTTATAAGTATTCATTATATTCTAAGATATTACTTTGTGTGGTGTGTGTTGGGCTAACACTGGAAGGAGCACAAATTAAAATGTGGTTTCTGAGATTGAAGAGTTTCTGTAGAAAAAATAATATATAAGTAATGAAAATTAAGATTTATTGAATGTTGCATATAAGGCACTCTCCTGAAATTTCTGCTTCTCTAATATTCACATCAGCTGTATTAGTTTTTTAGAACACCAGTAACTAAGTACCACAAACTGGGTAATCTCAAGCAACAGAAATTTATTCCCTCACAATTCTAGAGTTTAGAAGCTGAAATTAAATGATTTAACCCTATTGGCAGTGTCATTATCTCTTCAGAGTCTCTGGGGGAGAGGCCTTCCTTACACCTTCCACTTCTGGTAGTTCAATGTTCCTTGGCTTGTAGCAACATAACTTCAGTCTCTGTAGCTGTGGTCATATTGCCTCTGTCTCTTGTTTCTTCTTATCAGACATCAGACACTATCTTAGTGATATGAGGAAACATCTAGACAATGATTCTGATTTTAACTAGATTTATTTTTATTTCTCTACCTTGGAGGTCAGGACATCTTTATGACAGAAGAACAAAAGAAATATTATAATGCAATGAAAAAGCTGGGATCCAAGAAACCACAAAAGCCAATACCTCGACCAGGGGTAAAAAAAAAAAATCGAATGTTTGTAGCAATAACATAATGTACAGCAGTTTCTTTAACATAAATGCAGATCTTTTGATATATTAAACAAAATTGCTTGTAAAATTGAATTTATGTATTTTTAACATTATCATAGCTTTTATTTTTATCAAAGCTTTTAATATTTCTATGACAGAGTGGTTATATATACTTTTATGTCAGTTATATATACTTTTATGTCAGTTATACAACTTCCTACTAGTAAAATGGTTTTACTAGTAGGTTTTACTGTGATCTAAGAAATTCAAACTGAATTTATTTTTTATTGAAATTTATCCAAATGGTGAATTTATGATGTAGTGATTACTATCAGTATGATGACATTAACATTTAGATCTTTGATATTACATCAAATAGCAAGAGAATCAGGAGGATTATTTATTAACCTAAACTTTATCCTACTGTAGAGTCAAAGACCAGAATAGACTCAACTGAGAATTTGAGTCTTACAGTTAAAAGAATATTTGTATTCCTCCAAGTTAAAAAAAAAATGTTTAAATGCATTTCAATTTAGACTAAGTATCCATTACTAAAGAGCTATGGATAAAAGACAGAGAGCATCCTACATCCCACCCAATTAGTACATGGCTGGCTTTGTAAGGATCACTTAGCACTTTTTAAACATTCTTATACTCTCACCCAAACTGCTAAGTCGTAATTGATGGATTTAAAAGTCTTAGATTAAAGTTTTTTGAGTGCCATCTTTGATCTTGATAATAATGCTTTAAAACTTGATTGTGCAACTATTAGGGGCCTTTACAATTTTTCTTTTTTTTATGGAAGGCATACTAGCAATGAGATTGATCTATAGTAAAGATATATATGGAAACATTGTATATATACAAAAGTTAGGATAATAAACTCTCTGATATATTAGTTCAAAACTATGTGACATTAGTTAAAACAATAACAAAGCAAAATTTAGAGACATACCCTAAGTTATGAAATTGAGATTTTCATAGTAAAATTATCTTTTTTTTAGCCATGATAATTCATATATAATACTAGGGTAGATAAGCTTAAAAGCTTATGTTACTATGCAAGGTTAACTAAAAACTGGTCCTAGATACTGAAAGTCAGCAATGACAAAAATTTTCATTGATTTATATTTAACCCATTATTAACATTTCTTAGAAAAGTAAGATCCTATGACCAGGGATAATTTATGAAATTTTTAAAGATGATTTGCTTTTAACTAATGTGATGATTTGTGTATACAACTTATAAAATGTACATTTACATTCCACTTTTTCGCTTGTGTCTTTACAGAACAAGTTTCAAGGATGTATATTTGACCTAGTAACTAACAAAGTTTTTGATATCACTATCATGGTGCTTATCTGCCTCAACATGGTAACCATGATGGTAGAAAAAGAGGGGCAAAGTACCTACATGACTGATGTTTTATATTGGATAAATGTGGTCTTTATTATCCTTTTCACTGGAGAATGTGTGCTGAAATTGATCTCCCTCAGACACTATTACTTCACTGTGGGATGGAACATTTTTGATTTTGTGGTTGTGATTCTTTCCATTGTTGGTAAGACCATTTATTTATCTCAATTAAACAAGCTCCACAGATATTTAGAGAATTTTCTGAATTACTCCGTGTAAATTTACTTTTGATTAAGTCAGTTGCATGAAAGAATGAAGAAACTTTAAGAGCAAAAGTAAATAAAACTACATAAGAATCATGGGATTCATACCATAGTCTTCAAATGTTTTTCATTTGATGAAAGCATATTGTAGTCCTTGGTACTGAATTTCCAAGATTAAATAAACTTCACTAAAGTGGCAACTGTCTTTTTATATTGTCCAAATCTGAAATCACATCCAGTTTTAGTACATATGAGAATTGCCTCCTGATTAATAATAACATTAATAGCCAGAGTATCAGCAGTTCTTACAAATTCTTCCTGAATTCAAAGTGAAGATTTCAAGAAATATCAACTTCATTGCCTATGGTGCAAATCTATATAATTCAATAATTGTTCAAATAATCTGCCATATCTATGAATTACAGTACATGCTTCCTTCTTGATTGCTATGGTCACTTTTCTGTCTTTCTGTTTTTTATCATCTACACATGCTTTTCCCAATATTTTAGCATTGCATTTATTTTTAGAATTAGAGATTGTAAAGCTCATATAGTTCAAACTCAACTTACAAATAATTAAATAGGCAACAAATATTAACGTTCACATGACCTAAAACCACAATATTGATGACTGTAAAATAGAGCAAATTATATTCATTTTGTATTATATTGTGGCAGTCATTAAAAATAGGCAAGAATTGGGCCCTCCCTGGTGGCACAGCAGGTTAAAGCACAGCACTAAGAAGCTAAACCCACTTCAGCATGAGTTCGAACCCCAGCCCTGGAGGTGGCCCACAGGGCATGGTAGATCTTTCCTGACCCATCCACCACTCCCCTCAGCAGTGTACTGTCAACCTGCTCTGCTCCCTACTCTGTCTCTGGTGAATCCTCTCACCACTCCTGTACCTCTGGCCTGTACACCAAGTTCTGTATGCATAAATAAATAAATCATTTAAATAAATAGACAAGAATCAACTAAAAAATGGATTCAGCTAGTGTTCAGTGGTACAAATTTTAAATGACATGTGCCAACATTAAATCTTTTATGTAGAAAAAAAGATTACATATTTTTGGGTGAAAATAATAAAAAGAATGACAGAATTGGTGAATATGTGAAATGTGGACACTTTTCTATACCAAATTTCTTGAGATTGATTTGGTAATAGTTGGCATGAAATTTTGTAATTTGGCATGGAATTTTATAATGAAATTGTGATTATCTGACCTAATAATTTCTACTAATATATTATAAAAAAATATTCCTGCTACCAGTAATAAACATGTATGTATTTGGATATTCAGTTAGGCCCTCAAAATCAAAACCATACATTTCCTCAGTATCTTATATATGTATTTTCTCAGTATATGTATATATATACATATATATACACACACACATATATACATATATATACACATATATATATACATATATATTTCCTCAGTATATGTATATATACACACACACATATATATATATATTTCTTCAATATATATATAAAATACTGAGGAAATACATATATATACACACATACATAATACACACATATATTTATGAAATATTACTCAACTAGGAAATCATCTTGTCATTTGTCTGGAAGTATTTCCTTGACCTATAATTGACTAAAACAGATTATTGAAAAAAAGCTTACATCTGTGTCTGTGCGCTTTCATCATGATACACAACAAAATATTAATAATAGTTCTGCTTGGTGATATTTCAGGTGACTTATGTTTACTTTTCAGTACATACTGTTACTTAAATTTTCTTCCTGAGTAGGTATTATCCTTATAATTAAAAAAATTATTATGCAGGCCTACCTGGTGGTGCAAGAGGTTAAATACAACACTGTGAAGCTATGGGCAGAGTTCAATCCAGGGCCAGAGAGGTGACCACATGGCACAGGAGACCTCTCCTTTCTAGCCTGCTGTTCCACTCAGCAGTGTATGTCAGTCAATCTGCCTGTTCTCCCCACTCTGTCTCTGGTGAATCCTCTCTTCTCCTCACACCTCTGGCCTGTACCCCAGCTCTTGTATGCATACATAAATAAATCTAAATATATAAAATAAAAAAATCATTATGGAGGGGAAAAAATAACATCCATAAATTTAATTTAAAAAAAAAGTCATAGTAGTTAACTGAAATAAATTTTCTTTGGGGGCACACAAATCTTTATTATGATTTTGATATAAAATGACAGTTCCAAAATCATGAGATAAGATGGCAGATAAAACTATTAAGAGACATGATTTTCTTTAGCATGAATATTTCATTTTAATTCCTTTCCTCCTCACCAGGTATGTTTCTAGCTGATATAATAGAAAAGTATTTTGTGTCTCCTACCTTGTTCCGAGTGATCCGACTTGCCAGGATTGGCAGAATCTTGCGTCTCATCAAAGGGGCCAAGGGGATTCGCACGCTGCTCTTTGCGCTGATGATGTCCCTGCCTGCGTTGTTTAACATCGGCCTCCTGCTCTTCCTGGTCATGTTCATCTACGCCATCTTTGGCATGTCCAACTTTGCCTATGTTAAAAAAGAAGCTGGAATTAATGACATGTTCAACTTTGAAACCTTTGGCAATAGCATGATCTGCCTATTCCAGATCACCACGTCTGCCGGCTGGGATGGGTTGCTGGCGCCTATTCTCAACAGTGGCCCTCCCGACTGTGACCCTGAAAAAGACCACCCTGGGAGCTCAGTGAAGGGAGACTGTGGGAACCCATCTGTTGGGATTTTCTACTTTGTCAGTTACATCATCATATCATTTCTGGTCGTGGTGAACATGTACATCGCTGTCATCCTGGAGAACTTCAGCGTTGCTACTGAAGAAAGCACTGAACCCCTGAGTGAGGATGATTTTGAGATGTTCTATGAGGTTTGGGAGAAGTTTGATCCGGATGCCACCCAGTTTATAGAATACACCAAGCTGTCTGATTTTGCAGCTGCTCTGGATCCTCCTCTTCTCATAGCAAAACCAAACAAAGTCCAGCTCATCGCCATGGACCTGCCCATGGTCAGTGGAGACCGGATCCACTGCCTGGACATCTTATTTGCCTTTACAAAGCGGGTTTTGGGTGAAGGTGGAGAAATGGACTCTCTTCGGTCACAGATGGAAGAGAGGTTCATGTCTGCAAATCCTTCTAAGGTGTCCTATGAACCCATCACAACAACACTAAAACGTAAACAAGAGGATGTATCTGCTACTGTTATTCAACGTGCTTACAGACGTTACCGCTTGCGACAAAATGTCAAAAATATATCAAGTATATACATAAAAGATGGAGACAGAGATGATGACTTGCCCAATAAAGAAGATATGATTTTTGATAATGTTAATGAGAACTCAACTCCAGAAAAAACAGATGCAACACCATCCACCGTCTCTCCACCTTCATATGATAGTGTAACAAAGCCAGACAAAGAAAAATATGAGACAGACAAAACAGAAAAGGAAGATAAAGGGAAAGATGGCAAGGACAGTAAATAAAGCTTCACTTCTGCTATATTGTTTACAGCCTGTGAAGGTGATATAATTGTGTTAATGAGACTCTTTTAAAGGGGTCTATGCCAAAACTCTTTTAATCAAAATATTCTCAAAATTAGTGCATTCACTAGCTCTGATTCCCTAAAATAGTTGGACAGCATTCACAGATGGCTATTTTTGCAGCAGTAAAAAGTTGTAAGAGTCACACTATAGGGGATGATTACAAGAAACAAAAGTGATTTCATTTTATTTGCTTTTAATAAAGTAAGAGATCATGAGGAAAATATTCACATCTGCCTTGTCATCTTTTCACATAACTGTTCATCTTTTCCATATAAATATACTCACACAAACATCTATTATCTGATATCTACAAAAGTATTTTGCTTTGGTTTTGTAATCAAATGCCCTGGTAAAAGGATTGGACATTAGTAATTAATGCTTAGTTAACACACTTTGTTATTTAGAGCAAGATTCTTACCCATGTATGGAGGTCATTCTGTGTTCGAGGTGCTTAAATTTATTCTCCATTGCATTAGAACCAAGTTATATATGCCTGTAAAATGTCATGGGATTAAAACATTTATAGGCAATTCAACAAATATTGTCCATCCATCTTGACTCATGCATCAACCCGGATAACCCTCACCTTGTGAGTATTGTGTTTCATAGCCCACATATACATATATATGTATATGTATGTGTATGTATGTATACACACATGTATGTATCTTTAATGTTCATAAAAAACATGACAGACTATTCTAGGTACATACCACAGTCTTCAAAATAAAATACATGAAAAAATTTGAGAAAATATGCAAGTAAAGAAAACTTTACTATTTGTAAAACATGACTCTGGGCTGTGCAGCCCCAAAATACTGATCATGACGCAGTTCAGTGTGTTTTGTCACACTTTTCTACTCTCTTACCTATTGCTTAGTTAGCCTTAAGTGCTAAGCAAAGTTGGTTTCCCTTCATTGAAGTGCCTCCTGATAATCAGAGATCGATTTGATAAGCTACATGTTTGAACAGAAGACAACATAGGCACAGTGTTTACTGCACCACCTAAATACCATCCTGAATGTGTATGGCAAGTTTTAATTCATAACACATGGCAGACTTTCAACACAGATTTATGTTTAGTGTAAGTGAGCAGTGAACAGATTCATGCCAACTTTATTGCCACTAACTTACTTCCTTACTTGTACAAGTAATCCTTTTGCCTCTTCATTCTTTGCTTGGTAAGGAAATTGTTATTTTCTGCTTAAAATTCTATCACTCTGCAGCATATTGTGCAGCACTCATTAAAGTTGCCTGAAAACCTATAATTTACCAAATACATATTCATTTTACACTAGCTGTTGTCCTCCTATGCTTTATGTATCTAGCTTTAAGAAATTCTTGTCAGCAGTGACTTGAGAAGGAACAGCCATGATCCATTTTTTCATGAGTTTATCCAGGAATGAGATATTCTATCAAATTATTCATGCACAGGCAAGAATTGGGATACAACACTAGAAAGTTTTATTTAGAAGATTTTGTGGGAGTTTTCAAAGCAACTACATTTCAGCCATTTTTAAAATTAAAATTAAAAATTTACATTTTCTATAATAAGTCCTTAAAACACATTTTTGTTTTGACTGGTTAATGATTAAGGAAATTTAATCATACCTAATAAGAATGATGAGTAGAAAATGAGCAGTTGAAAGAGAGAGAGTAAGAAACAAAAGAGATACTTCCATGTAATTCCTATCTAGAATGTTTTATAAACAGTGATGTATTTTCTAACACCCATAAGAAAAATGATCACTTCTAAATATTTGTTATAAGATACATATGAAATTAAATCTAGGGCCAAAGATTCTTTATATCTACAGTCAAACATTAATCTTCAATTTGAGCCACTTTATATAATGTGAAAGATACTATCAGTGTTTTCCTAGACAATGTAGAACATTGATCAGATACCTTCCAAGTCTGTTGAAAATAGGTCTTCACAGTTTAATTAGGAAATCATACAAAATATATTACATTTTTTAAAATATCAAATTAAGAAATTACTATTATCTTAAATTTGAATTCAGACTATCCTGATTATATTAAGCCTATATAAATATAGCTGCATTTGTTTTTATGTTATATGAAAATATGTATAGTGGGAAGACAGGTTTATGTGTGATTTACTATGTTTTACATTGTTTGATTTTAATGTAAAATTAAAAAGATGACTCTAGTTCATCAATACCATTTCTTCTTAGCTTTTAAAATAATATTACATAGCTGCTCTTCCTCCTATTTATGCTGAACTGTGTGTGATTTTTAGAAAAAATATATATACATAAAACCTACTTGTTTTATGTATATATATTTCCCCAGGATGATGTCTAATTGTGGCTTTTTATCAAATAAAAACAATATTTATAACTAAAAAGCCATTTTAGTACAGAGTAAGCTTGAAATAAAATTAGACCTCTCTTGGTGTAGGTTGCTGTTTGGTACTAATCATGAGCTGTCAGCCTCCAGAAGGCACTGTCATGCTCCAGTTTCCATTAATCACTGAATCATCATATCACCTAATGATTTAGTTACATTAAAACTTACAATAGTAGGGAAATGACCAGATCTGAACACAAATCCACATATACTTTTGGATAAAAGTGGGAGAATCTTCTTTTACCATTTTGACTGTTAAATACTTGCAAAAGGCATTTGATTTGTGGTTGTTTCTAAATGCTGACTGTTGCAAACCTCAACCCAAAATCTTCAGCATGATTTTATAAAATTTTGATAGCTTTATTAAAAGAAGTTAAGATAAAAGGCATCTATGTAAATAATGCAATTCTAAATAGCAATTTTGGAGAAATGTTAATGAAAGTCATAAAAGGGCCTAAATTATTAATAGAATGTCCAAGTAACTGGCCTGGATTTAGGACCTATGTATAGAGGCCACCAGTTTTTTAAATATTTGGTTTATTGTGTTCTTGAGGGAAATAATCAAATTTGCTTCATAAAAATTAATGAATAGTCACTATTATAATAGTGCTGTTTTCATAGAATTCTTCACAAATTTCATACAGCTATGAATGCTCAAATGTTTAAATTTGTCCTAAATTATATTGTAGCAACACTTGAGACACATTGTAAGAGAATCTAAAAATAAAAGTCCAAAAATAAAAATATGTTTCCATGTATTTTCTGTCTCTGTGACAATAACCTTTAAAGTAATAAATTCCTAAATAAGTTGTATCTACTGATAGTTTTTTAATTACTGAAGATGACAGTTGCAGATGTCTTATGAAGTCTTCTAGAAAAAGAAAGATGGAGATATTTCAAAACAATTCATTAGTACCTGTGACAGAGTGTGTATATGACCAGAAAATTCAGATAGAAAGTGAAAATACATACTTAGTCACACAATTATCAATATGCAACTCCATTTTGTAATAGTATTATGAGGTAGTATAGTATACATAAATGACTAAGGACTTAAATTCTCTGACCAGTAAATGTTTAATAATGGCTTTCCTGGAGGAAATACTCTTTTTTTTTTTTAAGATTTATTTATTTATGCATTCAGAACTGGGGTGCAGGCCAGAGGTGCAGGGGTGGTGAGAGGATTCACCAGAGACAGAGTGGGGAGCAGAACAGGCCTACTGATGCAGTACACTGCTGAAAGGAGCAGCAAGCAAGACAGGAGAGGACTGTTGTGCCATGTGGGTGTCCTCCCAGGGGGATGAGGAATGAACTCCTGAAGCAGCTGAGGCTAGCTTGCAGTGCTGTGCTTTCACCTGCTGGAGGAAATACTCTTATTTGTACATATTTGCATATAGTTTTTGCCAGCACATTTCAAGCAAGCACTGAAGTGACTGAAAGTTTAGATAAGAGGTGGGCACCCTCAGACCCCTTTGACTATTCTAAACTGGATCCAGCCCACCACTGACTCACCCTGTGCCCTAATCACCAGGAAAAAGGGGAGGTTCCAGGTTCCCTGCCCCACCCAAAAGGAGGGTGGAACTGAGCAGGGAGGAGAGGAACCTAGAGAGGAGCCTGAGGAGGAAGTAAGCTGGGATGGAGATCCTGAAGAAGGCCTGAGGGAAGCACATGGAGCAGAGATGTGTGAAGAAGCGGCTCTTGTTTCTTGGCCCCCAGACTGGTTGAAAAAATGTGGGTGAGAGACCTGTTGGGGAGGTTGATGATGGCAGCGTTTATCTTGATTTGGATTTTGTCCTTTTCCCCCTGACTTATCTGGCATTTCTGATCCTTTTCTATGGGTCCCCTCCAAAAGATGCTTTAGACTTGTGGTGGGCTTTCAGGCCTTGCTTTCTGCCAGTCCCTTTTGGGTAGACTTTTACCTATGAGAGATGGGTAACTTTGGGTGTTTGATTTAGAAACTATATTCTTTGTCTTTTCTGTATTGCACACTAATTGCATTATAATTCCTTTCCATTAAAAGTCTTAAATTGGCCCTCCCTGGTGGGGCAATGGGTTAAAGCACCGCACTAAGAAGCTAAAGTCACTTCAGCATGAGTTCAAACTCCACCATCCCCGGGAGGTGACCAAATGGAGGCAGACCTCTCCAGGCCCTCCCGTTGTTCCCCTCAGCAGTGTACTTCATTCATCTGTCTGTTCTGCGCCCCACTCTCCCTGGTAAATCCCCTCACTGCCCCTGCATCTCTGGCCTGTACCCCAGTTCTGTATGCACAAATAGACAAATCTTTAAAAAAAAGTCTTAAATATTTTGTCTTGATGCAGCAGATGGCAGAACCTATTTATAGCAGGCAGGTTTGGGGGTTCAGAGGTACCTCTCTCCCCCTGCCCTATAACAGGAGGTCAGGAGTAGAAAAATTGCGAAGGAGGCACCACAAGACCAGAAACCTATTGCACACAATGATAGAAACTGGAGGTGGGGGTAGTAGTGATTAACGTACTTGTTATGGAGATGGAGAGTCTTTGTAGAGAATCCCAGGTCTTACTAGTCCCACCCTTGACCTAATTAGGTTAACAAAAGTTAACAGGTCCACAAAGGAATGAGCCCCTAGAAAAAAGAGAAGACTGTATCAATACCATCTCTGCACTGACCAGAGGCAGTTGTCCCTCTGCCTCCCTGTGCCTATGCAGGTGCCCCTGGCCAACTTCTCTCTCTGTAGGTCAGCAACCCACCTGCCAGCCTGTGACCTGTGAGCATGCTGGTCCTTCTCTTCACTGACCTCTCCCTCTGCAAGGCCGAACAGGCAGCTCTGCCCCCATGGCTGCCTGCTGTGACTTGCAGGCCTCTCTTTTAGC